CACTACACCTACAGTTCTGGAAAAGGGTCCTTTACTTTTACTACACAATGGAAGGTTTAAAAGGGGTCCAGATGTCCTGGAAAGTAAAGGCGGCCAGCTTGATGCTGAGCACATCACCCAATGAGCATCGATTGGCCTTAACAAACACAGGTCTGGTGCTATATGCCCAATGCACCAAAGAGAGGAAAAGGGTCCTGTCCTATTGCCTACATACTGAAAGGGAGGGTCACTGGGAGAAAGCGCATCAACAGCAAGTGCACTTAACTAAACATGTTTCAGTCGCACACACAACGCTTAACAAGTTATGGACCTTGGAAAAATAGAGAAACTAAAATCCACATACAGCATGAGGTGGCAAATGACAAGGTTCTGCTCTGTACTGCGGTTAGAAACAGTGCCTCATATAAACAGTGAATCCAACAGTTACTGCAGAGGAATGAAACTCTGACTCTAGAAGAGCATCATTTTGCCAGTTCTTAATTATGAAGCAGAATGCAGGAAAATGACCAAAAAGGATGCACATGAGCTATCCACCTTCCACCACACATAGAATATCAAACTTTTCTAACCAGATACAATCTAAAACATTAAACTACTTCAAACAAAGTAACTCTAGACCAAGAGAAGCTGAAAATGGCTTGGCCACATTATGAGAATGAATCCTGATATACCTGCCAAAACAGTTCTCACATAGATACCAGATGAAAAGAGAAAAAAGGAGCGTCCGAAAACATGGAGACTAACGACGGAAAGTGACCTGAGTGTAGCATCTTTGACATGGAAAAAGTGCACTGAAGATTGCACAGGACAGGAAAGTATGGAAAGTCCTCTCTGAAGCATCATTTGCCACTAGGCATAGCGGGAACTGATGATGATGATATAAACAGTGCATGCGATGGCCTAAAATATCTTTGCACGATGTATAAAAGTATGGTTCTGTTGCAGTAGCCTACATAAAAAGGAATCATTTGCACATTTAATATAAATACGCGGACATGTGCCAGTCTCATAAACTATACTGCTTAAAAAAAAAAAAACATGCAGTTATCCAATGGCACTTTACTACTTTAAAAAAAAAAGGGCAGCCACTGAAAGGAACCTAATCTTTTCATTCAAAATCTTTGTAATTTAACAAGTGAAACTGTTCAAATTGCACTCAAGAACACCATAGGGTTCAACCAATCAACTGATAATACTTTTGCATCTGGGCAATCTAAAGTCTTTAGGTGTATGGGCTTTCCCGTCAACTAATAAAACCATCGGATAACTATGTATTTTTTTCTTCTTCTTTTTTTTTTAAACGAAAACGCTGCCAGACAACTGTTTCTTTTTAAAAAATGTATATTTGTCCCACAAATGCCTAGCAAGTGGCCAGTGGATCACTGCCATTGTAATAGTGGTCTTAATAAGCCGGGGCTCAAGCCTCTGGCTCGCAGCGATCCCAATTTTCAACATTTTGGTCCCTGAGTAAACTTAGTTGAATAGCCTCGGTATGGACTTACCAGAACTCAGTGAGTAATGTGACTTAAATCATACCAGCCAGCTTCAGTTTCCAGAATAATTCCTGGTACCCATTTTAGGCTGGGTCGACCCAGATGTCCAGGTAAAAAAAAAAAATGTTTCAAATGTGTCTTTATGGGGAATTTGTCCCATGACCAGCAGTGTTCCAGGTTCGAATCCCTGTCAATTTTTTTTTATAACTGACTTGGGCTTCTAGACCAACCCAACCTAAATTTACTTTTTTTTTAAATAACACATGTTGATGGGGTTTTAACAACCCGTGCTACACACCTAAACTGACCCTTCGCTGCGTGAAGTTGAGAAAATGGTTAGTTCAACGTTAGTCTCCCCAGACCCTGCCCATATACACACTAGCTCACTTCTGATGAGTAGTTCCTGAGCTTGATGGCCTTCGCACACGATTGTGGTGTGTTTCGCAATGTCGCTGATATCATGTGTTGCATATTTAAGCACGCCAGCGCTTTTAACACTCCAAAAACATGGAGAAACTGGGTCTAATACAACCTCTCTAGAGAGTGCTGCAACCTATGTCACAGTCACTTTCTTTATTGGAATGAAAATGTAAATGCGAGACATTGCAGAAACCAAACAACATTGGACACAACTGTAACCTTCAGGAAAGTCAACCAGCCCGACAAACTTGTGAATGAAAAGTGACCTACTCTATTTGGGAATGTCGAACTAACCGAGAAAACAGAATCCTTTAACTGAGAACTGAACAAAGGTGTCTCTGTTGGTATGCCACTGAGTTAATCACTCACTAATCTACCATGACTTCCTTCATATACACATCCAGTTTAGTTATATGATTGGTAATATCAGTATGACAAATCTTGTTGGGCACTGTGTTAAAATGCAGCAAAACCAGTTACCTGCACAAATACACACCAAAGAAAATCACACGCTTCAGCTACAGGGAGTCCAAGAAGAAGATGCATTAACAACATAAAAGACGCTGCATATTCAGGAAAGACAACAAGATTTAAAGAAACAGATCACTTTACTTATTTATGTAGTAATGTTGACAGTCGAGGAAACACAAAGAAAGAAATTATGTCACACACTTACAAAACATCAACAGCTTTTAAAAGCTTGGACAAAATATGGAACGCTAAAATATAGTTTTAGAACCCCAGTTAACGTATTTTCATTTCTGATGTTATTTCAGTTTTAACATATGCCAGTGAAACTTGGAGAACTACTAATGACATGGAACAAAATTTAAATTCATTCCTGAGGAAAATAGAATTGACTTCAAGGAGTGAAGAAAAAAGAAAAATGTCTGGGCAATCATTAGTATCAACAGTTATACGACAGAGGAGATGGCGCTATACTGGACAAATTTTCAGAAGAGGTGAACACAGAACCGCCAAACAGACAGTGAATAACGGCTCAACAAAACAATGAATGAATGACTATTCACAGGGAATGACTACAGCCAGTTCTCCCTAACAAGTGCTGAACTATCAACCATTCCTCCATATGATACTTGGATGGCTGATGATAATGGACATTAGCCCAAACCTGCCATGGGTTGTTACTCCTTCGCAGTTTTTCTAACAAATGTATGGACAGAAATCTGAAGTAAAAATAGAGACATTAACCTTTTCACCCGTGAATACTTTAAAAAAAAATTTATGAATCATGACCCTGTGGAAATTCCCCCAAAATATCCTTCTAAACAAAACCATCATTTTACACAGGTGGCAAATAAATATATTTTAAATTTATTAATCCCCCCCCCCCCCCCCCAAAATATATAAAAATTACCATATCTTCTTCTGCCTTTTTAACACCCAAGGGAGCATAGGCCCTCAAACAACTCATGCCAAGTTGTTTTATCTTTCGCTATCGCATGCAGCTTACCTCATGTTCTCCCTAACTTTTTAAATTTACTCTCTCTAGCTACCTTCTCCATGTGTTTTTTTTTGGTCTTCCTTTATTTCTATGCCCCTGTTGGTTCTAGTGCAAAGACATTCTAGTTACACTGTCCTCGGGTTTTCTCAACATGTTTGTCCCATCCAACGCCAGCGTCTTTTCTTAACCTCTTGGTCCACTGGAACTTTTGTTTAGTTTTTTCACAAAGCTCTACACTAATGATTCTATCCAACCATTTAATTCCTTTAATTTTGCGCAGGCACTTGTTAAACATAACACTAGTGAATAATTAAACAGAATACATTCCCTAAGGTCTAAAACAAATGCCTATCGGATGACTGTGCTACAATCCCACGACCTCTATCAGAGACTTACATGAAAACTTTAAGCCAAACTAGGCTTTAAAAAACCACAGTGTTCACACAAAAACCCAATAATTTATTTTCAGTTAATATATTCATATCTGGGCCATCTAAATACTGCGCAGTGGCATACAAAACCAATGGCACTGGTCAGGTCACTGATGACAGGCTAAGACATTGGCATTTACAAGTAATGTGTCACAACCGGAAGCAACTATATCTAATCTTCACGGGACAACAAGGTTAAAGACAAAAACATAAAATATGTAGAGAAACTATTGTTAATAAATAAAGAAATTAAAAAAAAAAACACATATAAGAACACATAAAAAAACATCTTTCCTGTGGCAACTTATGCGCGTGAGTCATGGACTCTTAGTCATTTGAGAGGGAATATTCAGTGCTTTTAAACTGAAATGCTACAGAAAATTCTTAGAAGACCATGATCAAAAGGAAGAAAAAGATCAACATCCCACATGATCTGAGCAACAAGGAAAATTTACTCATAAACTGCATTCTGTTCAGAAAGAGGAGATATTTTGACCATGTTAAACGTCATGGTGGCCTCAAGGGAACGGCAATGAAGGACACAGCTTCTAGAAAGTGCAGATCTTCGTGAAGGTAAACACAAGATACTTCCTCGCGTTCACCACAGCTGTAAACTCTGGCGGAAAGTTCTGGTTGTCCATACACTTCTGGAACTGCAGTCCTATTCAAGAACCTGAGTGTTGCTTGTGCATCTGTTTTACAGATCTGATTCATTCAACGCTCTGCTGGTTCCTTGCCTCCAAGGCAGATGCACTCTGACTTCGAATGGGAAGATCCCAAGGGGTCTACTCTTACGACATGCTTTTGGGTAGGCAGTGGGCCTTTTCTTCTTTTCTCTATAATAGGGCCACTGAACCCACACGGGGAACACAAGATACTGAAGATACACTGGCTAGGGAAGCACATAGGGCTGGAGAAAGACAGACTTTCAATGAGAGCGACATTCTGTAGAGGACCTCCCGTTTGATGATGACATAAATATAAACTTAATGACTCAAGGGACCCTACCAAAGGTAAAGAAAGACCATATTTAACTATACACACGCAAGCAAACTGCAACAAAAGTACTATTCCATACACAGAAAAAAAAAATCACCATAAACTGCATCAGATAAACATGTATGACTTTCATTGCACTCACAATCAATCAAGCATATTTAATAGTCACATAACTCGTCCTTACAATCAAAGTCATTGCATCTTCATATTCTTCCGCTTTCTGTTCTTCAGTTTCAATTTTTCTTTTCGGGCTTCGGACTTCCCGCCTCCTATTGATGTAAACTCAACATTGATCTTCCTACCTCCAAGAGTTGTTTGATGCAGCCTCAAAGCAATCTGAAACAAGGGGGGAATTATAAATTAAGTTTAGCTCTGGTTCAACAAACCTAACCTTTAACTGCAATCTCAGTTAGACAGCATATATACTAGAGAATACAGAAATACAATATCAGCATTGATTTAGAAACCTCAACTTTCACATGCGGTCTCAGATTTTTTCCACAGAATTAAGATATACCACAGCAGCCCTGATCAAACTTCGTCTTCTTCTAATTCACTGCCTGTAAACTCCGGCTGAAGGCTCCAGTTGTTCGTCCAGTTGTGCTTGTGTCAGCAAAAACAGACCAGTAGACCAGGTGTGCTTGTGTCAGCAAAAACAGACCAGTAGACCAGGTGTGCTTGTGTCAGCAAAAACAGACCAGTAGACCAGGTGTGCTTGTGTCAGCAAAAACACACCAGGAGACCAGGTGTGCTTATGTCAGCAAAAACACACCAGGAGACCAGGTGTGCTTGTGTCAGCAAAAACACATCAGGGGACCAGGTGTGCTTGTGTCAGCAAAAACACATCAGGGGACCAGGTGTGCTTGTGTCAGCAAAAACACATCAGGGGACCAGGTGTGCTTGTGTCAGCAAAAACACATCAGGGGACCAGGTGTGCTTGTGTCAGCGAAAACACATCAGGAGACCAGGTGTGCTTGTGTCAGCAAAAACACACCAGTAGACCAGGTGTGCTTGTGTCAGCAAAAACACATTAGGAGACCAGGTGTGCTTGTGTCTGCAAAAACACACCAGTAGACCAGGTGTGCTTGTGTCTGCAAAAACACACCAGTAGACCAGGTGTGCTTGTGTCTGCAAAAACACACCAGTAGACCAGGTGTGCTTGTGTCAGCAAAAACACATCGGGAGACCAGGTGTGCTTGTGTCAGCCAAAACACATCGGGAGACCAGGTGTTATGACAGCTCTGTTTTAGGGATACTGGTTTTTATTGTCTGACTCCTGGTGGGTTAAGTCATAATTTGATTGCATCATGTCACTCTCAGTATGTTTACTTACATTACAACCACATAAACTTCATGTATGTTCACATGTATGTTGAGATGACGAAAAGTAAACAAACAAAAAGCTAAACTCCACCTCTGCCCAGAACAATTCTCCTTTGTGTTCACCTGCTGTAAGCTCTGGCGTAAAGTTCTGGTTGTTTGTCCACCTCTAGACTTTAGTCTTGTTCCAGAACCTAAGTGTTGCATGCAAATCCGTTTAACAGATCTGATTTAACTGTATGCAGACTGTTGATTCCTTGCCTCCCAGGCAGTCGTACCCTGACTTCGAAAGCTGCCCCCAAAAAGTCAACTCCTATGACATGCTTGTTGGGGAGGCAGTGAGTCTGTTCTTATTTTCCTTACAATAGGGCCACGGAACCCCGAACAATTAAGGCAACAAACAGAAGTACATACACCATGGCTGATGCGACCATCAAATTCCATGTATGCAAATCCTCTGCCCTTGTCTGTGCCTTTTTCTTTAGGAATGCGGACAGATTTTATGCCACCTATGAAAGTAGACAGAGGCACAAGCATGAACATTTTAAATGTATCAAATATAAAACAGTACTACGGGAAAGGCAATTTCAACATAGTGTAATGGCTAAAACACAGTTTAAAACATATTTTAATTGTCCGAGTGTGAAGTGACACATTCATGTATACATTTCATCAATATTGCATATTATTTCAGTAATGCACTCTTTTGCCCCGAAAAGCTGCAAAGCCGACTCATCTAGCCGAGGCACAATGCCATAAATGCCTCATTACTACAGTAACCTGTCTAAAAGAAGTATAGGATGGAGGTGTTGGCAGTGCCCAAGCTTTTATGTGCCTAGAATCACAGGACTATTCATTCCCGTGTGTGTGTGTGCTGAGTGATTCTTTAAGCATGATCCGGCGGGTAGAAGCAGGACTGTTACACAGATAGTGGATTGAGTCATATTAAAACTCTCCTGTGTGTGCAATCACTCTCATATTTGTCCCAGGGTATGCAGGTGTTTGCAATGAAAGAGCTGATAAGACTGGCAGGTTCTGCACTAATTGCAGACGGCCGGCCCATGGATCTTGCAGATATTGTCAATGCCCTTAGAGATAGTGCATTCTGAGGATTTTGGAAGCAACGAGTCCACATCAATGCTAAGAATATAAGAACTTTGAGTAAAGATCAGCACAGCCAATCATGAGAAGCCCACCTGACGCACACAAAGTCTTGTCAACCAGCACAGGACTAGCACTATTAACCACACGGCACTGATGAATATGCTGAAGGGGGGATCTGAGCACCTTATAGGCATGTCCGAAGTGCTGTGAAGATAGTCCAAAACTCATAACTTGCTATGCTTGAGGAAATGTATCCCTTTACCATTTGGACACCGATTTCCAACGACGGCCGTGCTACAAATGCAGTCAAAATAGAGGCTGTGGAATATACATTAAAGACCCCGGCAGCAGAGTAGAAAAACACACTCCCGGGTGATAAATGCTTGGTTGAGGCAATTGCCCTGCTTTTTGCAGTTGAGCACCTTATCACTCAAGAGTACAGAAAACACAAAAACGTAATACCTAGTGACTGACTCATTGTCCACCTCCAAGTACCATGAAGCAGAAGACAAGACTAACTTAACTAACAGCAGAACTGAGGCCCAGAATCTCGGTCTGCTTTTCAAGGAAGCAGAACTGGTCCTGCAATGGACATCAGCCCACTGTGGTATTACAGAAAATGAGAAAGAAGATATGCTGGGATGCATCACCCACCTCAGAGCTACACAGAAACCTAGACAGTCCTAAAGCAGTCCTTGTGGTGGTGGGGGAGTTGGAGGCAGGGTGACTGGAGTGTCATCATAAACAAACTTTAACAAGAAAGAACAAACAACAAGTTTTCAGCTTCGGGCAGGATACTGCTGTCTTAGAGACACCTATGCAAAAGAGGCATACAAGAATCCACCCGTGAATGCAAAGCAGGGAGACTCATGATCACACACTGCAGGAATGTCCTTACTACTCCCTGCAGAGGTTGGGGACTTGGCTACATTACAAGACAACCATGTGGGAGCCCAGTGGTAACCTTAGACACACTGTCCTGTTTGTGACCTAGACGTGACTGAATGTTAAGCATGGCTGATGTCAAATGCAGAAGTCCTAATAATAGACCCAGAAATGTCTAATGAAACAAGCAGATAACTGATATAAGCTTGAACGAATGTGGAATGTTAAATTAAGAATCAACATCACTGCACTCCGGAGACTCCCACAAGTGCTCTGTTCCCTTCTTCAGCAGCAAGCGAAGAGTTCCAATTCTGATGGCACCAGTAACCGTCTGAATGTATATCCGTCTCATCCTCCCCTAAGTCGGCCAGTGGTAACTCCTCACAGCGACATTTTTCTCAGACCATAATGATCTATCTGTGCCTCTGCACTGTTTAATTGTTCCCAAAAGCCCCTCACATTATCTAGCTTGTCAAAAATATCTAAAGGACGCTAACTACCCAGGACATTTGAAGTGATGCCTGCCACTCTGCATGAAGCATGCCTGACTTCACCTTTCTCAACATGCTCTGTGAGTCAGTTACAATCACGACATGTGTGAACAGATTATTCTCAAGCCTCCACCTCCATTCCCAAACTAGACCTGATATCATGTGCCCCTCAACACAGAGCCATCTATGTAATGACATCACTTGGGTGAAAATTATCACGAATCGTTTGTTGAACTTCTGATTCTGCAGCACCAGTCTCTGCACTCATGACCCAAAGTAATAAGAACCCTACACAAGTCTGAAACTTGTTCAGACACCTTGATCCACTCCTCCCCTTGCTCAAATTTATCAAGCCTGCACATATGATATAAGCTTAGGAATGATTAACGTGACAAAGACATCTCAACTTACCAGTTTTCCTAAAATGCTCCTCTAACTGTTCCCTGGTGATATTGTACGGGAGGTTTCCGATAAACAACACATACTTGTTTTTGGAATCTTTACTGGATGAGTGTTTGGTCACATCAACTTCTCCATTGATCAAATTTAAAGAAAATTTGTATGAGTCAAATGCTTCATTTTCTTCACTCTCCTTTAACCTCTTAGCATTCTCGGGCTCACTGGTTGCTGGAGGTGATATGGTTTTTCTTTTGTTAGACTTAGGTAACGATTCACCGCCAAGCTCCTTATTCTGTTTATTTTTCTTCTTTTTCGATGTATCTGTGTACAGGTTTTGCATGATTTTGTTGTGAAATCCTTTGTTAAAATCTGGTTCATACTTCAGGCTGTCTGGCTTGGCAATGGTTTCACGATTGCCTAAGAAATTCAATAATAAACAACATACTTAATAGAAACATAAACACTGTATGTACAAAATCATCAACAGAAACAAGATAGAAATCAGATTAAAATGAAATTTCAGCATCAGTGAAATCAAAGAACACAGCAGACAATTTTATAATACAAGGATAAATGAACATGTCACAATTTAACATTTAGAGAGCAGGCGCAAACAGAACCAATAGCACTTAATTATGCTTTTAAAGAACAGGTAATCGCAGAAATGCTGATACATATGCATTTACAGAGACTGTCACAACTGGAAGCAAACAGATTTAAGGTTCTCGGGGCAAAAAGGTTCATCAGTGTAGAGGCTTTCATAGAAGAGAAGAAAAGACACAAGTTATTAAGCTAGACAACATAGTAGTGAAAGTTACAGTAGCCACAATTCCCAGAAATGGCCGGATTTTTCTGACCAGTATGGCTCTGAGCAACTGACCACCTCGCAACACATGCCTTGGCCTTGAACATGTGAAAGTCTAACACTAGTGATTAGAAAGGATTATCATCACAGCATCTCCTCCTCTAAAGCTCCAGAGGCGTGAAGCAACTGATTGCGCCTGTTCTGTGTTGGTTAATGAAACTTCATGTCCTCTTAGTGAAATATTCATTTCTTGCAGCTCCAGGCTGCACCCCCATGGCCATCAGTCTAGACATAATTTTGAGTCATGTCTTTTGGCGTGCTCCTCGATAAGGTTAAGTGCAGTGCATGGCATTGATAACAGTCTAATACTGTTTTAACCAAATGGAAAAAACTACAATACTCCTTTAAAGATGTCATTAAAACAAGAAGACACCAATATGGCTTTATATAATGAAATCAAAAAGGTATCAATCTGGCTTTATACAATGAAATCAAAAAGGTGCCAATCTTGCTTGTTTTAATGACAACAAAACGTTGCTTGTCTGACTTGTTATAATAACAAAAAGTTTTTTTAAATCTAGCATTATGCAATGAAAACAAAAAAAGGTGTTAAAACACTTACGAAGTTTGGGTCTCTCTGTCTTATCAGACTCCGGATTTGTATCTCCAACAGCTTCTAGAAAAATGTGTGCGTCTGCTGCTTGATCATTTGCCCTGCTTTCTTGAGAAGTTTCAGGATCTGACTTCTTTTTACGGTTTTTGTCCCACCAATCCTTCCTTCTATCTTTCCTGTGACTGTTTGACACTTCTACTTTGTGTGACCCTGTTCCATTAGTGGATTCTCTCTGAGGGGCCATAGTTTGCAAACTGTCTTGTTTTTGGTGGTTCGCGTGAAAAGATGCCATGAAAGTACTCTTATATCTGTTGGAGACAAATTACTTGAAATCATGAAAATGTTTTTTGACCAGTCTTCGAATATTTCAGCATTTAGACAGGTTTTTAAATTTTATAATCATGTTCTGCCAATGCTGTCTATCTTTAAATGTTTACTGCAATAAATAAAGGTGACCGCCATGTCTATGAAACCATTCATTTAGTGCCATTTGGTCTCTGAGAGTATGGGGCTGGTACAACTTGCAAGATGCACCAAAAAGTGTGAAAAAGGCTTTTAGTTTCTATGCCAGTGGCTTGAGCCCCGACGAAGAAAGACAATTTAAATATAGGTGGCAATGATCCGATGATCACCTGCTAGGCCTCCTCGTGCCACCAGTTGAATAGCCCTGTGTTTATTCTATATCTTCTAAATATCACTGTTGACACATAAAATATTCACCAGTAATCTTCACTACAGCCAGACTGCAGCTTTTCTACTCCCCGCCTCCAGGTTTCCACATTTACATTTGTTTTCCCATTTGCCAACCATAGTTGTCTTTTATCTGGCTTAGGTAGAAGTATCAATTTTATGTGAGAACCAGACACAGGGGATGTTTAACAGTCTTACAAAAATCATTTTCAGACACTCAAAGAGATCATATAATGCCTGAATCCGGCTTGGCTGCGATGAGTGATGGTGGCGGCAAACTGAGCACCATCTCACTTCTGTACCTGGGTCTGGTACTTTTTGTTTTTGAGTTTGCGATGGTGATCCTGACTCTCAGACAAAAGCAGATGGAGAGGGTGGAAAGGATACAGAACAAGGCTGTAAGCAATGAGTATATATATATATATATATATATATATATATATATATATATATATATATATATATATATATATATATATATATATATATATATATATATATATATATACACTCATTGCTTACAGCCTTGTTCTGTATATATATATATATATATAATCATTGCTTACAGCCTTGTTCTGTATATATATATATATATATACTCATTGCTTACAGCCTTGTTCTGTATATATATATATATATATACTCATTGCTTACAGCCTTGTTCTGTATATATATATATACTCATTGCTTACAGCCTTGTTCTGTATATATATATATATAATTGGGTATATAAAAGATACAAAATGCAGGGCTATTTATACTACCTTTTTGATTTTCAAGCATGAACGAGAGGATATAAATTTTCCAAGCAAGTGTCTACCTAAGAGTCAGTGCAGACACACATCACCCACTGCACAGTGAAATTAAGAAGAAAAAAAGGTAGTAGCTTAAAAGGAAAATGGTAGATAGGTGAGTCAACAGGTGTGTTTACTTCAGAAACCTGGGAAGGAGTAGGCACAGGTGCCAACAGAACACGGCTAATCAGAAAATGCAGACAACAAAATTAGGCAGCTTGCGGCTATGGAGGCAGAAGTTCACGCCTTGATTTCTGGAATTCTCTAGGCAGTCATTTGTCATGTCATTTACAGATGCTTTGGTCATTTGACATGTGAGAAGCTCGTGGGCTTTTATGGCTCAGGCTGAGTGGATAACTCTGAAGGAAAAGTCTGGGCTTTTGCCTTGATTACAAGTAGTCTGACTCTGGAGGTCATGGCAGCGACCAAAGCAACCCTTCACTCTGACATGTTTTTGTTTTCTCAGTGACTCAATGAATATGCTTAAAAAGATAGAGATGGGCTAGGCCTGAAGACAGTGGTTGGTATCTCTGAGGTGGTCACGGCTCACAAAGATCAGTTTTGGGCTATTCTCCGACGAACGGTCGGCAAAGATGGCGGCCGCAAAATATCCTTTCGAGCCAGTCGCGTGTCAATTGCACACTAGCGGTCACGAGCACACCGCGGCTGCTGCTCGTGGGTCCTAGCCATGTAGTTTAGCCCCATTCCATGTCGCCATCTTTGCCGACCGTTAGTCGGAGGATATAGCCCAGTTTTATTCTGTGCAGGCCGCACCACTTAAACTTAATCATAATGAATGTGTGTAGTTCTTTCTTACTTACTATTATTATTTTTTTTACACTATACTGTGCTCTCCTTGGTAAGTAGCAGATTAGTCAGATTACAGAGGTTATAGGTTATTTAAAATATTTTCAAGTACAATTAACTGATAATATTAATAATCATAATTAAATTAAGAATATGACAAGTGACAAGGATATAAATATCGGATTCCAACACATTTAACTTTTAAGTTACAATTAAACTTACTTTTAATTTAATAAACATTTCATTTTCTGCATTTCATATTATCACTGATCAACATCAGCATATCGCCATCTTCTTTAATAATTAACATCACTGTCACAGGGGATATTATTCCTAGAGATTCATTAAGACTGGATTTGAAACTAGCTTATTTTTACATAGTTAAGTTAGTTACTACTTAGTAGTTTTAAGCTTAACTGCTTAACAATAAATTCAAACAAAACAGTTGAGTTCAAAACAATATCACGTCGCATGAATGAGTCGTGAATATATGACACATTACAGAACATTCATATAACCATATGATATTAACATACCATATTTAAAAGAAAAATTAAACTAAAAGTAAAAGTACAAGAAAGAATCATTCATTATCATCAACATAAACATTAAAATTTCATACAATTCTGGATCAGGTCAAAGGTATTGACTGAGATAAAAAGATACATTTTTGAAAGCGCAGAGAAAAGGGTGTTAACAGATTCTTTACCAGTCGGATCAAATTGATTGCAGCTGGTCACTCATTTGAGTTCTGTAAAACGAGGAGATAAAGGCTGGACCTGAACGTGCAAACTGTCACGGAGACATGGCTGGGTTAGCCAGGTGAGGCCACACACGGCCGCTACACAAGCCAGGTTCACATATAGGGAGCAACCAGCAGGAAAAGACACTACTTTACCTTAATATCATATTATATGTGCAACCATTGTGATTTATATTTCCATATAATTTTTTTAGAAAAATGCTAGAATGTTTTATTTTACTTTATATAGTTTTTAATAAATGCATATTCACGAGCTTAACTGGTAAAAGCGTCGACTTTTGTAGTTTTTCATTGTCTCCGGATATTACTACCATCATTTTCATAGTTATTACCTTGCTTCATACAGATATATCTGTATATTTTCTTCTCTTTTCTGAGAGTATGACGATAACTGTGATTTTGTCTTCTCATTGCATACTGGGCATTCATGTGCGTTCTCAGTCCTAGGATGCAGCAGCAACTCCGGGGTACCTCTGTTGAATGTTCCCATAAGCAGTTGGTTTTTAGTGTACCAAATCTCTGCCTTGGAGGTAGCATGTGTATGCTTCTCTATGCTTTAATTCCCGGTCAAGTAACTGTATTATTAGAGTCGGAGATTCTAATTCACAAGCCCACCGTCTCACATGATTGCCAGTCTCAGATCAGGTTAAGCTTTTATGCCAGCTACTTATTTAACGCGCAAGTTTTTTTTTTTTTTTTTTCAGTTGTAGATGTATTATTAATGGAGACAATGTATTGAACAGCACTCATAGAAAGAAGTAGAAAGATAGGAGGACACACTAGACAACATAAAAATCGAATGCTATATTTGCCGTGACGGAAATCGAATCTGCTACCTCCAAACGGCGTGTGCGCCTCGCTATGGAAACAAGCGTTCTAAGAACATAGCCAAGTAGGCACCCCTCCCCCCCCCCCCCCCAAGAGGTGTCCACATTAGCATGTCTATTGTACAGCTTGAAATCCACATTTATGGAATACGGAAATAATTCATCTCAACCATTTTAATTGACAACAGGTTACATAAATTTATAATAACGAATGAAGAAGAAATTAGAAAAATATGAAAACGGGCAAAGAAAACATTTTCGGTAAACAGACTGATCACTGGTTTAACTTGCCAGGATATCTGGTTACTTAGCAAAGAAGGTTGGACAATTGGCTGCTATTTGTGTCGGTGGTATCCTCTTTCTAACCCAAGTAAGCTGTGAGTGACATCGCATAAATCTTGTGACATCCTCATTTCAAATGTAGCAGATATCTGACACAATTACTATAGAGACGCTTGAAATATATTGGCCGCATTAAAAGGCTCAACCGTTTTTAAAAAATCATGCTAGAGGGTTAGGGAAAGAGGTAGACAGCGATACAAGTGAAAGGACAACAAGCCGACTGTGATAGTGTACAGTCAAGATAAGAGAATGAGAACCTTCATTGTGGAGACGGTGCTTGATTAATTGATTCATTAGTTAATAAAGGAATATATAAATAGTGAAATTATAACCCCTGTTTGTCGATGACACCCTCCCTTACCCACCCCCCCCCCCATTTTTTTTTCTCTCCCCTTTCTTTGCCTATTTAACATATGCTGCTAAACCCAGTTTGTGTGTTTCATAGAAAAATGAGTGCCCAGCTGGTAATGTTGTCAACATCACACCAATCCCCTGTACTCCTGGTACCCACTAAAGCTGGCTTACCCTGTCACAGAATATTTAGGCTCAGCAATGAACAACAGTGGCGTCTGCGCAAAAGAAGCACGAAGAATCCACCTGCAAGCTAGTTAAAGTTAACGTTTTGAGACAATGGACCTTTTCCTTGGCAACATAGGGATGGGAGTCTTGCTCAGTCTTTGAAGACATAAATTTGAGCTCTTGAACTGAAATGCTCCAGTACAGTTCTTAGAATACCATGGACCAAGAGGAAGAAAAACACTGACATCCAACATGACCTGAGCACTCGGGAAAAATGGAAGGGGGGGGGGGGGGGGAATTGTGGTTCAGAGGTATGGCGTCAGCCTCGAGTGCTAGAGGTCCTGGGTTCAGGCCCCGGTGAAGGTTGGGATAAAGACATAGCACTATGTGTAGTGACCCTTCAAAGACTCCTTAAACTCCTCATTTAACTAACTGACACAACACCCTCACGCAGCAGCCGGCGCCTAACATCGCGAAATGACACCTGCCATTTTGCCATAATCTTTTCTTTTTACTCTTCATAAAGTCATTGCATCATATGCACAGGAGC